GGGTGTGGGGGTGGGTATGGGGTGTGGGGGTGGGTATGGGGTGTGGGTCTAGATCTCTTATTCATCCATACCCACACGCCCACACCCACACTCACACCCACACTCACACCCACACACACACCCAGACCCTATCGGATCTCATGGGATCCTATCGCCGGAATCCGACAGAATACGACGTCGGAAATCGTCGGAAATTAACGGATAATGCAGGTTTCCAACAGTCGGAATCCCATCGGATCTGATTATCGGAAACTGTCGGATCCCATCGGATCCCATTGGGTGAGTTCTACCTGGGTTGTCCTAATCGATGAACATGAAACTATTTGTTAATCAATATCATTAACGAGAAAGCTATTTCATCTGCTAAGTTTCTTTATTTGTACTTTAGGACAATTTGATGAAGTTTTTGTTCGTCAATTCCTCTCTGAAAGCGAGTATTTTAGCTGCATCACTCACAAATTTTGATAGTTATCATACTACTTTCCGGAGGTGACTTGTCAAACACCAAGGTCTAGTGACTCTCTCAAATACTCTTGGCAATTTATCTTTATTGAAGTATATGAAATTCTATAACAACAACATAACATTATTATCAACAATTACAAAATCATTACTTTGTACAGAAGTAAATAACAATACATATCTTTTGTTCAAGATAACCAATCAATACTATTTTTCGAATATCTATAGCGTTACTATACTTATCTAATAATCTGTTTAATGCTTCAAAGTTGAGCACAATTGTTGACAAATTTAACATCATACAAATCTATCGTCAATAAGGTTATATTAATCTAAAAGAAACTGATCAAAAGGATTAAAAGCATATTACTTTTGTCTTTTCTTTTTGATTTACTTGAAAAATATTGCATAATTTATAAAATAAAATAAAAGCAAACTGATTTTTTTATAATATGCAGCTATAAAAGTCTTCTGATCTCTATCGCGACTTTTGCTTTCGGATGACAGGAATCATCTTATTGAAAAATCACATTCATTGTATTGCTACTGATTACCAGAAGGGAGTTTGATAATGACTATTTATTGTCAAAAGCAAAAATAGATTCGAATTCTCATATACTATATACTCGATAAGATGATCAAAGACCATAGAATATTACTAAATTTATCAAGTATTGTTCACTCAATAAAGACATAGAGTGAAAGTATTTTATTCTGATTCATTCATTGGTTGTACATGGATAGATTCGTTGATTAATCATTAACAGTGAACGACATAAATCAATGATCTATTGCATAAAATGAAATAATAATCAAATATAA